AATAAAAACCTTGCTCAAGGTCCTTGTGGGCACAATACACTTCCAGGAGCAGTAAACTATCTTTTTTGTCTAATGGCCCCAAAAAATTGATAGCCTCTTTGTTCCGGACATCCGCCTCTCACTTTATTTATTGGAAACGTGTCTTGATGTTTCGTTTTTGGAACTTGTTCTTGTAAAAACATCCTTGAATCAGTCCAACACCTGGTGAGTTTCTTGGATATTCCTTCAAAAAGCCCACCCAAAAATGTTCAATTGAGCTCATGGGTTCTTATTGTGGTGGGCAAACTGGACAGTCATTTCAATCCCAATCAACTGAACCTATTCAAGGCTGGGATACTCTAATTTTTTGTACCTTTAAATTCTATTTTTTTAAATTTTGAACAATGAAAATTGTTCTGGATTGAATTGCAGTGGGACTTCAAGATGCAGACATAATTGGTACATCAAGATTGCCTAGATGTCAGAATTTCCCTAATATGACTCTCATTATCCTTTGGACTTCAATGCTAATATATTTAATTGGTTCTCATTTTGTCAAAAATTAGAAGTCCTCAAAAAAGGTTCTATACAACTTGTTTCCCTTAATTTCAATTAGTAGAAAACAAAAGTACAGAAAAAACCACATAGAATCTGACCTTTTTGTATCAAAAGGAGATCAAAAAGCAAAGAAAATTAATAAGTCTGGCTATAGAATCTGAACTTATGAACAACAAAAAAACTCTGAAAAAAGAAGCATGAAATCAACTTGCTTTTGATTTTCAATTCAAGGGAATTTAGCATGACATATTTTTTCAATTCTTTTTAAATATAAACAGCTTGATTTCTTCAAAGGAGTCTTAGTTGTGCCTTGTGAACGCTGAAAAGCTGCAAATAAAGTGTTCTGTTCATTCATTCATNCATGAAATCAACTTGCTTTTGATTTTCAATTCAAGTGAATTTAGCATGACATATTTTTTCAATTCTTTTTAAATATAAACAGCTTGATTTCTTCAAAGGAGTCTTAGTTGTGCCTTGTGAACGCTGAAAAGCTGCAAATAAAGTGTTCTGTTCATTCATTCATTCAAATAAGGATATCAAAATAAATAAATAAAATGTTTTGATTTTCTGGGAAAATTTCAGAAAAGTGTCCCTAACTCAAGCCAATGTCTGGATGTTGGGCCTAATTTTTTTTATTTATTCTTTTCAAGTGTCCCTAAGTCAAATTGTCTGTATATGTAGGGGTGTCTGTATATCAGGGTACCACGGAATATATTTGTTCTGCAGACTTACCAATTTTACTTGCATAGAAAAATGGGTTTGGCTGATTCTTGCGCAATTCTCCTTCAATTGCTCTTGTCCTGTTTTCAGTAATTGGAATAATAAGTTCAGACTTATGAAAAAAATATTTCTTGGGGGGAAAAAAATAGAGTTACCCAGCCTGAGTAAAAAGGTCCAGTTGATTGGGATTGAAATGACCGTCTAGTTCGCCCACTGCAAGAACCCATGGATTTTTGGAGAAAAATCCAACAAACTCACCATAGTCACCGCCTATTGGACTGATTCAAGGATGTTTTGACAAGAGCAAGCTCCAAAAACGAAACATCAAGACATGTTTCCAATATATATAAAGTGAGAGGCGGATGTCCGGAATAAAGAGGCGATAAAATGTGTTTTGGGGGTCATTAGTGAAAAAGACGGTTTACTGCAGCTCATGGAAGTGTATGATGCAGGCACAGACCTTGAGCCTGGATTTTGATTACTATCGTTTTTTTTCTACGCCTTAATTACCGCAAGTGACTTTGAGACAGTAATTAATTAGGCGTACGTAATTTCCCGGGACTTTATGCAGCTGGCTTCCTTGGCCAAAGAAAGATCCCAATCTTTATTGCCACCTGGTGTTTCGAATAAAGGAGTCTTTTTTTAAGATCAAAACAAGACAGTCCTTTTTTCTTTGAGCCAAGTTACCAGAAGGTATAATGTCTTCACCCCAAAGACTCTTTTATTTAGGATTTATTACGCTGAAGTAATTTAAATTGCCATATATACTCACCAGTTCTGCTGTACCAAAAGAAATGTCACTGACTTATTCATATCAAACATTGAGCCAAGGGGTGGAAATAGCGGGAAACGGACAATTCCCCCCCATTCTAATTCCCTCCCCTCTATTCCCCCCGCTCTAAAATCCCCGATCCTAAAGTCCCCAATTTTTAAAATCCCTGATGATTATTCCCCCTGGTGTCTAATTGCCCCGAAATAAAAATCCCCATTTACTAAAATCCCCGAAAATGCAAAATCTCCAAATATACAAAATATCACCAAAACTGAAAAAAATTCGGCCGAAATTGGATTATTTTTGTATGCTGTGGTGTTTTAAGTTTTCTGAAGGTCAGAAAAGACCTTCCAGGTGGGCTGAGGCAAAGTTGGGATTAATCCAAGAAAAAGCCCATTGCTTAGCATAGGATTTCTTTCATTTTCCCACGAAATTTTTCTGTGCAAATAGAAAAAAAAATTGGATTTTTCCCTAACTTCATCCTCAAATCCCTTTTTCTACCCTGAGGTGAGCAGAAGAAGAGGGATGCCAACCTGAAGAATCTGTGTCAATTGTTTGACAGGCATGAAATTAGTCTGGAAAAATTTTTGAAGGAAACAGTTAAAGCAGTGAAACTGAGATACAATTGATAATTTTTTTATTGCTGATGCGGCTTTTTTACATTTTTTGTTTTTTTCAATTTTTACTTTTTTGTTTCTTTTTTTCAAATTTTACGTTTTTTCATTTTTACGTTATTTTAATTGTTATTCAATTATACTTGTTAAATTCAATTTTTGTCACTCAGAAATAAGAAAAACAATTTATAACACTGGGGGATTTTAAAAATCGGGCATTTTAATTTTGGGGATTTTTGTGACCGGGGATTTTAAAATCGGGGATTATTATTTGGGGGAAATAGCGGCGGGGAATTAGAATCGGGGGAATTGTCCTACACCCAAAAATAGCTGCACTTTCAGCTGTATTTGATGTCTCCCTGAACTGAATCTGATGATCTAAAAAAAAGTACTCCTTATATAAGACAATTAATAATTAACCTTCACGAGGTCTGACTTTAGAATCAGAATAGAAAAGTTATTGTCAAAGATGCTGCAGTGTGATGTTCCTGGCACTGCAATTTTGAGGAGGGGAAATACTTTTACTTCCAGGAATTATTTTAGAGTACATTACACTGTACATGGTGTGCATGCCCAACAACTTTAAAATGTACGGTTTATCTGAGATTCAAAGCTTTGCATATTAAATTGCACAAAGCTATATTTGGAATATTACGCATTTATTCTTGAAACAGACAGGAAATACACCTCACACGTCTTCAAATCTCAAAATTCTTCACAACGATTAATTACGCAGACTTGTCAACAACAACTAAAAAAAAATCACAGCGTTTCCTTCCTCTATAAATTTTTGGGAACTTCCGTTCCAGCATATATATGGAAAACAATTTATGAAATCCGGAAGGAAATGGGCTTCCAGAACAAAGGAAATATGCATTTTTTTCCGGGGATAGGTAAATTCCTTGAGAAAGATATAATGACTCTATGATTAAAACGAAAAAAGGGAAAAAAATCAGTGACATTATTCGGTCTCTGGCAATGAAGCCCACGTTTGCAAGGTCAGTCTTACTTTTTCTTTTAATTTATATCTCTTCTTATTCTCCTTCTTCGTCACCGGCTAATAACTTGTTTTGTTTTTTTATTATTATCGGCGCGGAATTTATTTTTAGAACGGGCTGACGCGGGGTTTTTAGTATAAAAACGACAGTGTCGCGATAACTCAGTCCCAATCGTCACTTTGTTCCGCCTGTGGAAAAATCTCTGTCACTGTTGCAATTTTGTTACTTTTTTTTCTCCAAGATTTTTTTTATTTTGTTGAAAGGTGATCGTGTTGATTCTGTTGAGAAATGCGCGTAATGTTGCAAAGAAAAAACTCGAATATTTATCTGAACTCAAACGTGTTTTCAGGTGTCAGTCTTTTTGCCACTGACGAATTTTTTTCTGCTGCCTGCGAAGAATTGCAACGAAATGAGGCAGAATGGCAGAAGACTTTCTTGTGCTTTTGATACCCAACTAAAATTTGTGCACATTTTCAAGTATTTTAAAGTTTACCCACAATTTACTGGGAAATCTATAATTTAAAGTGTCCAGATGCTCAGCTTTGGAGAGTTTTCAATTTAAAAAAATCATATTTATAGCCAGCTTTTATTATTATTTTTTCAATTATTATTTTTCAGTCTTTCTTTTATTATTTTGATTTGAGAGATGTATAATTTTGTCAGGGTCACTGAAAACTTTAGAATTCAGAGAGTTCAAATGCCCAGCTTTGGGAAAATCTCTGAATTTGTTTCAAAACACTTATTTCAAACCAGATTGATTCCTTTCCTTTAATTCTTCTGTGGAACCTCTAATTTTGTCATGGGCACTGATTCTACAAATCTTTCAGAGATATGTGGAGTCAAATGATTCTTTGTGATGCCTGAATTGTGGTTCATCTCAAAAGGTGACAATGTTGGAAATACTGTAATTAACCCTTGGATGGCAGAGGGTTCCTGGCCATCCTCTGGCAAAGCTTAAACTTTTTTTAAGGGGAGGAGGGGCATTTTAGTTTGACTGAAGGTCACTGAAATGCCCCCGGGTTGCCAAGTTGGGAAAAATCCAGGTGCAGAAAATCCCGTTGTCTCAAGAAATTCGTAATATTAATTGTATCCTGGGAATGCATGAAAATAATGCCACCCAGAGAGAAATTTTTTTTAACCAAAATTTTCTGCAGGATTATGGAAAATTATCAAATATTTTCCTGACTTAGGCCTTGTTTCAAAAATCAAATCTTTTTTCATTTGCTGACATCATGGGAACAAACTTTTGCAAAAATATCCTAAATTTGCCTCACAAGGGTTAAATCACATTTTTGATTATGAAAATTCCTCTTCCTGTAGTGATTTTTATTGTTTGATATTTTGGTGAGTCAATTTTCCATCTGTATTTTTTTATGCAGGCATTCCCACCATTTTATTTCCACTTGTATATTCGATAAATAAATATTTGTGCTTCTGTTTGTGCGCGTGCAATTGCTGTGTGAGTGTGTGCGGGTGTGTCTGTGCCAATAAATACATCAGCTCGCAAAAAAATAAAATAATAATAAATCCGAGTCTCAACATGGCCCTCATGGGGCTATCACTGTCCTGGGTCCTCTTATTGCTGGCATCCAGCATCTCAGCATGTCCCCAGAACCTGGGTTCCTGCAGGTGCAACCCATCCCCGATCCCCCGAATGAAACCCGTGCTGGACTGCTCCGAAGTCTCAGACCACAACGACTTTCTCAAAATCGAGGGCCTGCATTCTGCGCAACCCGGGGGACGACCCGTGTTTTCGCAAATCGTCATTCGACGATCGGAAATCCAGGAAATCCCGCCTGGGGCATTTGGCATTGCCGAGGCTGACGAATACATCATAGAGAACAACCCGCAGTTGGAGAAGATCGAGAGGGCCGGGCTCGGGTTCCACGCGAACCCCAAGGTCATCTCCATCAAGAATAACCCCCTGCTGGAGGTCATCCAGTTTGAGGGGTACTCCAGGTGAGCATTGTTTCCTGTTTTATGTCCTCTTGAAAAATATATACAGTGGAATCTATCTCAAGTCAAACTTCAAAAGGGACCAGAAAAAAAAAATTTGACTCAGGGATGTTTTGAATTGAGCCCTACAATACAAAGCCCTTTTGTCCTGAAAAATAAGCTCAAACTTGTAAATTGTTATATTCTGAGGATGATATTACTTCTTAAATGAGTTATGAAAGCATCCTGAACTTGGATGTAGGGTTCATTTGCCCAACTAAAGTCTCTCACCTCCTTTTAGAACAAATCAATTTCTATTTTTTATTGTTTTTTTTTCTTTCTTGTGTCAAGAAAATAAAAGCCGACAGGCCACAGAAAATTTGACTTATGGAGGTTTGAGGGGGAAAGCCTTTGATTTGGGGAGGTTTTAAATACATTAATTCAAAGGAGATTCAGAGAGGACCTGAAAAAGAATTTGACTTAGGGGGGTATTTGACTTAGGGAAGTTTGAGTTATCAAGGTTCACCACAGGTGGTACCTTGCAATTCAGCCTCCTGCAATTTGACCATCCTACAACTTGATTGTCAAATCTGCTGGGAGGTTGACTTGCAATTTGACCTCAGATCCAGAATTGGCCTGCTTTGACCAATTTTTTTTTTGCATTTTGGTGCTCATATTTCTTAATTTTACAAAGGGTCTTGTAATTTGACTGCTTTGCAATTTGACCATAGTCCAGCAACAGATTAGGATCAAATTGCAAGGTACCACCTGTAATAATAAGTATACTGTACATTGTGGTCTCAAAATATGGGAAATTTGACTTGAGGACACTTGAAACTCCAAAAATATGCCCCAGCATACAGACAATGTCTCAAGATTTGAAAAATTTACCAGAATTTCTAAAAAACATAGAATCACTTCTTTCTCAAAATAATATACAAAACAATTAAGACAAATGATCAGAAAATATGGGCAATTCAAATTAAGGACAAGTGAAATAAAATAAAAATCTGCCCCCTCATCCAGAGGATTTCTCAAGATTTGGACACTTGGACAACATTTCCAGTGTAATAAAATTTTTTATTTTTCAAAATTAATACTTTTCAAAAATTAAGACAAATGATCCCAAAGTACGGACAAGCCAACTTATGGACACAGAAAAAGCCCCTGCATCCAAAAAATGCTTCAATATATGGAAACTTTGCCAAAATTTCTAGAAAAGTGAGTATATTTTCTAAAAGAAAACTTTAATTCAGAAACATGGTCACGGAATATGGACGGTGTGTCTGAGGGACACTTGAGACCAAAAGCTTTTCCCTCACATACATGCAGACAATGTCTCAAGATATGGACACTTTGCCAACATTTATATTGAAAAATAGAAAAAACGTATTTTTCAAACTTTGGGTACCTTTCAAATGATTTGAGCTCATTTTATTCACAGGATTTAAGAATACATTTTAACATAAATTTACCTGAATTCAAAATCCAAAATATTGTTATGGTTTGCTAATTGTGTCATATAGTTTTTTCCATCTGTACATCACATACTTATGGACTATCTTTCTACAATGATCTTATCTAAAACCATGTTCTCATCTGCATAAGAAATTTCTTTTGGTCCCACAGGGCTCTCAATTGAATAAAATTCTTTCTAAATCATTTTTTTCAATGCCCTTGCATATTTTATAGGAGAGAGAGTTCATGTGTAGTAAGATTCCTGGTTTTTGTGCTCCTTTTCATGCCAAAATATCAGATTTTGTGTGGGTTCCTACGTCATAGTGATTTTCTGCAGATTCCAGTTGATGAAGCTGTACCAAAAATTTTTCATGGGGAGGACTTTTTCTTATTTCTTGATAAACAGGAAAACCAACTGAATATGTTTTCATTGAATTCAATGGGAAAATGTGATCTGACATATGTAGAATTTTCTACATGTAACAAGGCCCTAAAAATCAATTCCATCCCCAAATCAGGGCCTCAAGGTAAAAAAAAAAAAAATTTCATGACGCAAAAATAAGGATCTCAAGGTGCTCTGGTAAAAGTGGACATCAAGGCCTTTTTGAAACTTTACCACTAATATAGTGAGTCTCAGATTAACAAAAGACCAGGACACACCAAGTTCATCCTTTTTAATTTTCTCAGAATTGGTCGCTATCCGATTAAAACAACCAACAATTATGTTTTATGATGCCCATAAGGATCCCAGTTCCTCTGCAGAATAACTAGCCTTGATTGCGTCCACTTTTTGTCATGACAAAAAGTGGACCTCATCAAGGTTACAAAAAATATGATAACAGTTGGCACTAATGCTTGGAAACAACAAAACTCACTGTAGGAAATGTATTTTTGGGCGAAAAAGGATTTCTATAACAAACAATCTTGTGCACAGAATAAATTCTCTGAACAAAAATAATTGTGCATTTCAGCATATTTTGAATGGTCATCTTTTGCACTTTCTCCAAAAGGAAAGGTGTAACATTTGAAAGACAAATTACTGTTAGCATTTTTCATTCATTATTCGCACCCCAACAAATTTTCCATTTCAGATAATACTTGAATGCGGTCAGATTTATGCTCACATGTTGTGAAGAAAATCTTGAACCTTTTTTTTAAATGTTTGGGTCTTCAACAAAGTAATATCGGATGCATTAAATATTTTGCAATCAAAACTCGAGTAAGACTTCGTCCTGTCAACCAATTTCGAAGCCATGTTTTCGCTATTTGATCAGCTGATCAGCATTTTTAAAATATCCATGGCACTTCAGAGCATTTATTTTGTATTTTGGCTAAAAATAAAAAATTCGTGAAATTAAAAAAAGCAATGAGGCTTTTTTAAGCCTTTATTATTATTTTTTTAAGACGAGGATTGAGTTAAATGCTCAAAAATTATCAAAAAATAGAGAAAATTGAGTTTTAGAGATGACAGCATGTAATCACAATAAAAAACATTCCATCCAGAAATTGAACAATTCAAATGTTCAGTGGATTTCATTACGGTACATGAAATTCTAGCATATTCATATGAAAAATCTAGAAAAAGGGCGTCTATATAAAGCTTTAATTATTACGAAGCGTCATTTTCTACATAGAAATAATTTGAATCGCGATGCATTGAAACTATTTGTTGTAAAGAAATGTTATCTGAAAGTTAATCTCGATATCTCAAATAAACGTTTCAATGCCATGAATGGATCCTAAATTGTCATGATGAAATTGTTCTCTATTTTGAAACAAAGCATAACCACACACAGAGCAACATCAGAAAACGAGTTTTTAAACACATGTTTGGTAATTTTTGCCACGAAAATGCTTAACGAACCCTGAAAAATAAACGGTGGCTAATTTTCGCGGTCATTACTTTTGTGGACTTTGCTTAAAAAAAATACTATTTAGACTTTTTAGAGCATTTAACCTATGCTTGTCAAACTTGTCACGAATTAATTCCGTTGAATTTTCAATGATCCAGCGCGTTGTTTTTTTTTTTTGCGGTTTACACTTTTGCCGGTGGGTGAGTTTAATTTTTCAAGGTTTCCCCAGTCATGCAGAGAAGAATCAGCTGTGTTTTTTTTATTACTGCATTGAGCAAGTTTTGGAGGTTAAAATTTAGAATTTCATACTTATTGAAATGTTGTCATGTTTGATTATTGAGAGCTATGAGGAATTGATTGTTTCTGAAATTGTTTTGGAATCACTGATTTTTAGAAAGCTCATTAATTAAATTTAAGAAAGTGGATGGTAATATTTTTACCATCCAACAGATCCCTTTTGATACCACAGCTTTTTTTGAAAAATTCTTGGCATTTTAATAAACAAATTACCAAATTTTCAAGGGTGTCTAAGAGGTGTAATTTCTGCAATAAAAATACATTTGTTGATGCATCACCAGAGCACATTGTTTTCTTATACCCAGCATATTCCACAGCTACAGAAATGAGCTTTAAAAGTATTTGGTAATCTTGAAATTCAATGAAAAGATTCTTTCCAAAATCTTTGAGGACCAAGATCAATTCTCTTGAGCTTAAACAATTGATCCTCAAAGATTCTCTCAAAATTTTTTAAACAACTAAAACTTCTCTGGGAGCAACTCAATCACCTTGTGCTTGAATTTGGGTTCAGTAATTGCCTCATGCCATAATTTGTATCAATGATATTTTCTCTTGTTATTGGGAAGGGAAGTGAGTGTATGTATTTTATACCAGTTGTGCAATTGTACTTTTTGGGATGTATTTTATTTTCTTTCAACCCTTGAATGGCAGTGGGTTAAATTCCATCCTGCAGAATTGCTGGGAAATTGTTGCATGCTTGTGCATTTTGGTTTGACAGAAGTTCACCGTAACAAAGATTTGATTGAGTAGCCAAAGTCCAGAAAAATCTGGGGGAAGGTAAATCATTGTGTCTGAAATCCCCCAATGCTAATCCTACAAAAGCTGTTTTAAAAAAGGCCACACAACACCCAACGTTCATAAAAAATTTCTGGCCTAAAAAGAATGATTAATTTGGATTTTTCTAGACTTTGTCTCTCCTGATCATCCCTGGTTTTTCTTTTTTTATGCCTTGTGGCACAAAATTAAAAAAAAAATCCTGAAATGGCCATCCAAAAGGTTAATATCCATATACTATACAGCTTATTTATCTATTTTCCATCCAGATGTGATGGAATGTGTTTAGATTTGGGATTAACGCTTGAACCTTGTGAATTTTGAATTTTCAATGATCCAGCGCGTTGTTTTTTTTTTTTTTGCGGTTTACACTTTTGCCGGTGGGTGAGTTTAATTTTTCAAGGTTTCCCCAGTCTTGCAGAGAAGAATCAGCTGTGTTTTTTTTATTACTGCATTGAGCAAGTTTTGGAGGTTAAAATTTAGAATTTCACACTTATTGAAATGTTGTCATGTTTGATTATTGAGAGCTATGAGGAATTGATTGTTTTGAAATGGTTTTGGAATCACTGGTTTTTAGAAAGCTCATTATAATTCCATTTAAGGAAGTGGATGATACTATTTTTGCCATCCTACAGATCCCTTTTGATACCACAGCTTTTTTTGAAAAATTCTTGGCATTTTAATAAACAAATTACCAAATTTTCAAGGGTGTCTAACAGGTGCAATTTCTGCAATAAAAATACATTTGTTGATGCATTACCAGAGCACATTGTTTTCTTATACCCAGCATATTCCACAGCTACAGAAATGAGCTTTAAAAGTATTTGGTAATCTTGAAATTCAATGAAAAGATTCTTTCCGAAATCTTTGAGGACCAAGATCAATTCTCTTGAGCTTAAACAAATTATCCTCAAAGATTCTCTCAAAATTGTTTAATCCACTAAAACTTATCTGGGAGCAACTCAATCACCTTGTGCTTTAATTTGGGTTCAGTAATTGCCTGATGCCATAATTTGTATCAATGATATTTTCTCTTGTTATTGGGAAGAGAAGTAAGTGTATGCATTTACAACAGTTGTGCAATTGTACTTTTTGGGATGTATTTTATTTTCTTTCAACCCTTGAATGGCAGTGGGTTAAATTCCATCCTGCAGAAGTGCTGGGAAATTGTTGCATGCTTGTGCATTTTGGTTTGACAGAAGTTCACCGTAACAAAGATTTGATTGAGTAGCCAAAGTCCAGAAAAATCTGGGGGAAGGTAAATCATTGTGTCTGAAATCCCCAATGCTAATCCTACAAAAGCTGTTTTAAAAAAGGCCACACAACGCCCAACGTTCATAAAAAATTTCTGGCCTAAAAAGAATTATTAATTTGGATTTCTCTAGACTTTGTCTCTCCTGATCATCCCTGGTTTTTCTTTTTTTATGCCTTGTGGCACAAAATTTTTCAAAAAAAATCCTGAAATGGCCATCCAAAAGGTTAATATCCATATACTATACAGCTTATTTATCTATTTTCCATCCAGATGTGATGGAATGTGTTTAGATTTGGGATTAACGCTTGAACCTTGTGAATGCTGAAAAGCAGAAAATAATAAAGCTTTTTGATCAATTAATCCTTCAATCATTTGGGAATTTCATTTTGCACAAACCTTTGCCTTTTTCTGATTAATTTTAATCTTTGAAGTTTTATTTTCCAATTTCTCAATAGCAATTTTTTGAGAATAACTTGTGATGAAAACAAGCAAAATTTTCCAATTTTTTGCTTCTTCCTGTTACTTGCTTCAAGTTTTCAAGATATTTCAAGTGTTGAAAAGAAATTTTAATGAAACATTCCGTGGTGGGAAGAAAAGTACAGGCAAACCTTAATGATAACTTGAACCTCCATAAGTCAAATATCCCTCTAATAAATCAAAAGCTTTTCCCCTCAAACCCTCATCAGTCAAATTTTCTGTGGCCTGCTGGCCACTATTTTCTTGAAAAAAGAAAGAAGAAAAGCATTAAAATCAGAAGTGTATGTGTTTTAAAGGAAGTGCAAGACTTAATTGGGAAAATGAACCCCTGTCTCCAAGTTCAGCAGCCTTTCAATTCATTTAAGAAGTCATTTAAGCCCCAGAATATCACCATTTACATTCTTTTCTAAGTTTCCAAGAAAAAAACACTTTATATTGAATAGTTCCAACCTAAAAAATTCCGAACCCCCCTCAGTCAAAACCTCCTCAAGTCAAATTTTTTTTTGCAGCTCCCTTGAAATTTCACTTTGAGATTTTCAATTGTAAAAATACCATTTTTCGTTTTTGTGTGTGTGTGTGTTATTGGAAGTTTGCGAGATTTGGAAGTCCTGCGGTTGAACGACAACCGTCTTCAAGAAGTGGCCGATTTCGCATTCGACGGCATGAGCCCGAAATTGCGAGAAATCAACCTGGAAAGAAACGTCATTCTGGACATCGGGTCCTTCCCGTTCCGCAATCTGCCGGGACTGAAAACCCTGCTGCTGGCCGAGAACCAGATCGGGGACTTGGGCACCAGCTCCTTGTTCTTCTCGGCGCCCCCGGACCTCGTCGACTTGTCCCGGAACCGCATCGTCACTGTCGACAACGACGCCTTTTCCGACGCCACTTCCCGGGGTCAGTTCGAGTTAGAGTGACAGTAATCCAATTACACGTTTATTTTTTTGTTTTTAATTATCATATATTTTATCAATAAGTATAAGCAGGGCAACCAGTTATTCTTCTGCAAGAAATTAGTCCAAAAACCTATCCCAGCATAAGACCCGCGCCCCAGTTTTTTGTTGTTGCTAAAAATCAAGAATATTTCTTGTGTAGATCCATTTTCCCCCATAAGTATTTTCTTTTTCCTTCTTCTTATGTTTGCCAATTGCTCAATTATACAACTACAGTGAGACCCCCACATGCGGATACCTCGACCTGCGGACACTGCAACACAGGGACACTTATTTTCCCAGAAAAATTGATAAAAAAAAGGCCCTACGTGAGGACACTGACTCAGCATAGGGACATTTTGTAATAAAATTGCAAATACATTTCAGGCTAAATTACAAGAAACAGATATTTCCAACCCTAAAATTGATGTAAAAAAAATTCTTGGGCATTTCTCTCACCAATTTACCATCCATTTAGCTAATTTTAGAAAATTACCTCCAGCATAGAGGGACTTCTAAATTTCTTTTCACTTGAATGTTATTTTTGTAGATGCCAACATTTCAATGCACAGTTCAGATATACACTATTCAATGCTCCAAATTTTCTTATTGAGTTGAAATGTATTCACTAATTAAAATTCAAGTGGCAAACATTTTTTTCAGGAAATTCTGAAAAATATTTCTTCCATAAAAGACCAATTAAAAATATAATGTACGTCTATGGGAAAACAAGACTCAACTTAGGGACAATTAAACTTAGGGACACTCTTGATGCACCAATTATGTCTGCATCTGGGGGTCTCACTGTATCTTCCACTGCTTCTTATATATTTATGGTTGCATCTTGAACTGGTTCCCTTAATTGTTATTACTTGGACTATTATTTCCCATGGATCACAAGGACACTTTGTGCCACACATTTCCCCTTTGTTAGTTTGTTCATTAGATGTACTACTGTACTCACATGCTGCCTGTGAGGTGCTCTGGTTTTGAAGATTTTTCTTTTTGAAAAATGTATCCTTGAGTGCCCAAGTGTCCTGAACTCCTGATTTTTCTGTCTCAATTTCTGGAAAAATGGTCTGAATGGTACTTGAGTAAGTATAGTGTGTAATTAATTTGTGCAGATTTTAAACTGCTTGAAAAGCGCATCCAGGTTCAAGATGTATGATGCAATTACACATGGGACCTCAGAATTCAACCCTAGTCCATTGCTGGACTAAGGTTGAAGTGCAAAGCAGTCAAATTGCAAGACAACGTCAAATGGCATGTTTTCTACATGGTATTTTATGTTCTGGCCAATGTCTCTCTGGCCAATGTCAAGATGCAGAGCAAAGGTCAAATTGAGAGTCAACCTTCAAGCAAGTTTGACATGCAAATTGCTGGACAGTTGAATTGTGAGAGGTCAAATTGTGAGGTACCACCTGTATATACCCAGCCTCCAAGCAATTTAATTTTAACCCTTAGGCAGGGGTGCTGGGATTTAGCAAAAATATTGTGTGCTACAATGAATATAAAAAGAAAGAAAACAAGAATGATTAGAAGAGCCAAAGCCCAGAAAAAACCCGAAAATTTTCTGCTCTCCTGCAGAAAAATTGTTTTCAGAATAAAGTTACCATCGGGTGCTGGCATTTTTCTGCATTCCTGCCATAGGATTAGCATTGAAGGATTTTTAGAACAGAGTCTTTCCCTTTTCTACATTTTTCTGGACTTTGGTTGCTCATCCAAATCTGCATTTCAGTGACCTTTGATCAAACCAAAATCCACAAGCATGCAAAAAATATCCTGACACTGACATGGGATGGAATTTGACACACTGCTGTCCAAGCCCCTCATATTGAAAGAATAATGAGGCCCTAATAAATGAAATGTCAAAAAACCTTTTGAATAAATCGATTTGAAGTCAGCCAATTAATTTCAAAATTAAAAAAAACTGAGCACGTCATCTGACAAGTTTCCATTTTATGGATTCATCACTTCTGAAAGAAATAGTTTCCCAATTGCACAATTGAAGGTTGAATTAATCTTTTTTACCTTTGATATAGAAACCAGTACTTATTAATAATTTAGGGACGTGCTTGGCAAGTTTCAGGATCTTAATTTTATTCAGTTTGCGAGTAATGCGTACTTGGATTTTATCCTGGACTTGTCAGGACCACTTAATTGTTTCCTTCATTGAGACTTTGATTCCGGTTTTTGATAAATACCCGGATCCAAAAGATTGTTCTATTCAAATAATGCAGATTGGAATATTTTAGAAACAATTATTGGGATCATTTAATTTATATTTGGATTATCAAATTTGTTTAAATGCATTATACTGTTGTGTTTCTGAGAGGTTTGATGCAACTGCAAAATAAATTTGAGTTATAAAGTTGTTTTCAGGAATGATTTAAAAAAAATCAGGAATAGAATGGATTTCAAAAAAATCCTGGAGAAATTTTTCCTTTTATCAGTCATAATTTTAAAAACCAGTAGTTTTCAAGTCATAGATGATCAAAAATCAGAATCAAATTTTGTTGTGAAGAAGATTATGGTCCTTCGGAAAGTGTTTTGACATATTTCACTTCATTTGAAGTTAGATGATTGCTGGTATTCAAAAGAAGCAGGGAAAATAGGGAAAGAACTAAAAATTTGGCAAGCTTTTGGATTGCTTGGAGTTTTCTTCCTTTTCTGATTTTAATTTGTTTAAGAATAATACTGTATTGGAAAAGTCCCCAAAAAAGTCAACAGCAACATGCCATCTGAAGATCCATGATTGTATTGAATTTAAAAGTATGTCCTTCCTGTTGGCTCATATTGAATCATGAAAGATAAATATTAAAAGACAAACATTTTCACATGAGTATATGTGTCACTTCTTGGACACTCACTGAATAAATATGTTCATGATGACTTGAGTGATGGACTAAATAAGATGTTTGTGTTATTTGCAGGTGCTAATGGAGCTTATGCCAAACACATCAACCTGAGCAACAACAGGATTAGTAATTTGAATATGAGAAGTTGGCAAAGCATTTTCAACCGCATGGATGCCTTGGAGAAAATTGCCAACCCAACTCCACCACCTCCACCTCCAACTGCTGCACCAGTACCCACTTCTCCTGCACCACCACCAGCAGCAGCAGCAGCAGCACCTGCTGCACCAGTATCAGCATCATTAGGAGCTGCAGCTGAAATCCCTGCTGCAGGTGAGACTAAACACCATGATCACTAATATTTTTGCTAATGAATGAAGGGTTCAGTATTTGCCTTATGCTGTAATTTTTATTACTTATATTTTGTTTTCATTATCATGGAGGGAAGAACGTTCATGTACAATTGTACAGTATTTAAATCAGTTGTGCAATTGTATATTTTGGGATGTTTTTTGTCTTTTTTTATATTCATATAAAGCTTATTTCTCTATTTTCCATGCTGATGTGATAGAATGTGTTTGGATGAATTTGGGTGGGGAGGGGAGGAGGCTTGGCTGTGGGAACATTCCTTCAACCTTGTGAATGCTGAAAATCAGAAAATAAAGCTTGCCAATCAATCAATCAAGCAATGAACGTAAAAATTTCCTTTCAATATTGCAGCATAAAATAAATATATAATATATAATATATTTATAATGAATGCTTTGAAGTGATTGAATGTGTTTGGGGGGAGTTGGGTTGGGTGGGGAGGGGGTTTGGATGTGGGAGTCTTGGTTGTGCCATGTGAACGCTGAAAAGCGGTAAATTAAGTGTTCTGTTCATTCATTCATTCAAATAAATTTAAAACATTCTTAATGAACAGTCCATTGTGTTTCTGCTTTGCAAAATATCTGTTCAAAAAATGTTTGCATTGTATAATTCCCTGCAACTGGAAAATTACTTGCTTGAAATAGTATTTTGTCAAGAAAGCTTGAATTTTGGAAAGTTTTTAGTTGAAACTGTAGAGTTACTTTTAAAATCAAAGCAAATTGTAAAAAGACAGTCATAAATGTTTCTACCATCAATATAGGTAATAGCACAGAAACATGCTTGTTTCAAAAAGTTAGGATTTTATTTTATTTTCTGTACCATACTGTACCTCCAAAACCACAGTATGCCAGAAGCACTCATGAATCTCATCAAAGCTGGACTGTATTTATTTTTCCCTCTTCCAATGAAACAGGGTTACCAGCTGGAAGTGCAGCAGACATAAACCAGTCTCTTAAATCTGGAATGCTCCTCAATGTTTTGTTTTGAATAAAATGTCAAATCTCAACAATTACTTTTCAGCAACTGCTTTGTCTGAGCAACTCATGGCTCATAAGTGTTGTCATCACATTCAAACATTTCAATCACAATAGATCTTGCAATCTCAGAAAAGCAGTTATTGTTTTTTTTATTCACTACCTTCTATAAAACACAAAAATCTGCACAAAAATTTGAATCTTTTGAAGCTTAATATAAAGCTGAATAATTGTGTTTCCCTCCTCCAATGGCAAACCAGGGCCACCAGCAGCATCATCAGTAGCAGACCCTGTCCAACCCCCAGCACAAGAAAGAGGCATTCAAACAGAAAACTTGTTGCTGAAGATGGAGTCTTGGTTGTGCCTTGTGAACGCTGAAAAGCGGCAAATAAAGTGTTCTGTTCATTCATTCATTCAAATAAATTTAAAACATTCTTAATGAACAGTCCATTGTGTTTCTGCTTTGCAAAATATCTGTTCAAAAAATGTTTGCATTGTTTAATTCCCTGCACCTGGAAAATTACTTGCTTGAAATAGTATTTTGTCAAGAAAGCTTGAATTTTGGAAAGTTTTTAGTTGAAACTGTAGATTTGCTTTTAAAATGAAAGCAATTTGTAAAAAGACAGTCATAAATGTCTCTGCCATTAACAGATAATATCACAGAAACATGCTTGTTTCAAAAAGATAGGTTTCTTTATTTTATGTACCATACTGTACCTCCAGAACCACAGTATGCAAGAAGCACTCATGAATCTCATCAAAGCTGGACTGTATTTATTTTTCCCTCTTCCAATGAAACAGGGTTACCAGCTGTAAGTGCAGCAGACATAAACCAGTCTCTTAAATATGGATTGCTCCTCAATGTTTTGTTTTGAATAAAATGTCAAATCTCAACAATTACTTTTCAGCAACTGCTTTGTCTGAGCAACTTATGGCTCATAAGTGTTGTCATCACATACAAACATTTCAATTACAATAGATCTTGCAATCTCAGAAAAGCAGTTATTGTTTTTTTTATTCACTACCTTCTATAAAACACAAAAATCTGCACAAAAATTTGAATCTTTTGAAGCTTAATATAAAGCTGAATAATTGTGTTTCCCTCCTCCAATGGCAAACCAGGGCCACCAGCAGCATCATCAGTAGCAGACCCTGTCCAACCCCCAGCACAAGAAAGAGGCATTCAAACAGAAAACTTGTTGCTGAAGATCCTAGAACGTCTCCAGGCCCTGACTCTGCCTGCTCAATCAGCCTCAGCCCCCAGCATTGGTGTCACAGCAGCTGCCTTGAACCCTGAGAACCCATTGCACAGGATCCTGCGCAAAAGGGCCATTGGCCCTCTGACAACAATTGCAGAAGCAGCCAAGGGTCATCATGTAGTGGCAAAGAGCCCTGGGGACATGTTTGATGCATTCCAGCCATTCTTTGAGAGGAAAGAGGATGTCATGGATGCCATCAGGGCTAATCCAGAGGCAGCTGTGGCAGCTGCCAAGGCTGTCAGTGTGGCTGCTGAGGCTGCTGCAGCTTCTGCTGCTGCAGTGGAGAATGCAGCTGCTGGGGCTGCTGCAGCTGTGGAAACTGCTGTTTTGGCTGCTGTGGCCATGCAGCAGAGGCAACCTGTTGAGGCTGCAGGTAATCTCATTTTTCAGTGTATATTTTGAAACATAAGGTCTTCAAAAACTAATGTTTAATGATGTTGGTGGACTTATACCCACTCTCTCTCCATCAACAAAATTCTCTGTGCAAGATTTTTTTTTTTTGCATTCCTGGCAGAATTTATGAGGCCAAAATAATGGTTGTCAAATGTATTTTATCAATCCTCTAGTCTCCACCATGATTTTTAAGTGAAACTCAAATACATGTCATGAATCCTGACTTTAGGACCAGGAGGTAAAGATAAATTATCTGTTTTTGCCTCAGAATTTATGGACCACTGCTCCAGGAGCAAAGATTTACAGCATGGATATTATGTCCAACTGTTGTTTGAGACCCTATCTCCCTCCTTTCTCTGTGCTACAACTGCTACCTGCTTAATATCCAGCCTTTCATTACATACAAGAAAAACCTTCAAATATTCCATCAAATTTGTAAAAATTCTGTAATATGAGAGCTGTATGAAAATTTCCCAAGTAATTTGAGGTGAGATCAGTCTTATTTCAGGTTAATGTTTACATTATGTTAGGTTCAGTTAGCTGACTTTTTTATTTTTACTTGCATAAAATCAGTAATTCTTAGCTGAGACTGTGGTTGTTAGTGTTCCAGTTAACTTCATTTTGAAATGAAAACACCGTTAATGAGAAGGGTAAACTAATGAGTAAACTTCTCGCTCACTCATTAATTTCCAAAGCAAATGCGAAGAAAATTCACGACTTTTCCTAAAAAAATAACTTTTTGTTCATTTGCAAATTGAATCATTATTGGTAATGAATATTGATGTGCTTTGGTTTTTATTCTTTGAAGCAAGAAAAAACAATTGTTGCAAATGTTGGTAAATGAATTCAGTAGCTGATCGCAAGGGTTCTCGATTTCTGACAGGGCCTTCGATCTTTTTCCTATATTAGCGACACCTAGTATATATTCTGTAAATAAAACTGCGGAAGCTTTTTTCAAGATAACGCGTTGTCGGTCTTCTGAAAAGGTGGAAGGCATTTTTACAAATTACGATAGCACATCCATTTTTTTGACAAGCGGACTTAAAAAAGAGCAATCCATAGAGTGATAAAATAAAACATCTTTAGATTTAATAAAAGAACCAGTATGAAGGCTCTGTGGGCTGAATTAAATGTTCTACGGTATCTACTTCGTGGAATATGAAAAAAAAATCTGTTGAATAAAATCACAGATTTTAAGCCATTACAGTATTTCATTTCTCACTTTCTCGGCTAGAAATGTTGGAGAAAATTCAATTCATAATTTAGTCAAATTTCTCGTCCCCTCAGGCAACGAAAACGTTGTAAATCCAGTGGTTGAAGAACTGCAAGCAGCAATCCCTGATCAAGTCCCTGAGCAAGTAGCGTCAGCCATCCCATCAGGCGCGGTTGAAGCAAACGAACAACTTAGTCAAGCTGCCCTAGATGTCGCTCAAACACCAGAACAAGCAGCCGCTGCACTCGCACCAGCAGTCATCGAAGAAGTCTCGTGTAATAGTGGTCGACTTGGTCGTCGTCGTCAACAACTTGTTCAAAGGCTTCGTCGACGTGGAAACTAACTTGTTCGTCGGCTACAACGACGACAACCTTGTCTTCGGCAACACCGCTCACAGTCTCGGAAACGACAGGTGGAGCCAGCATCAGCATCAGCTGCTGGACCAGAACCACCCGTTGTTCCTGCGAGGATCTACACGATTGATTTCTCTGGTGAACCATCAATTATCCTTGTGCTTAATGATCAGATTTTTTTCAATTGATCAGAATGGCAGATTCCGGTTTTCCAAGATTTTTGTTGTTGAACAAATGCGTTGATTTTTTGCGTGCAGGAAATCAACTTGATTGCGGATGCGGTTCCAAGTGGATCTCGGACTCTAGGTACAAGTACGAAGATCAACTGCAGAACCTTTCCTGCCGCAACGGACAGATGTCGCTCTTCCAACTCGACATTGGCCACTGGCGTCGGCAGAGTTGCTGAACCCATACATCAGCCAAACAAAATTTTATTGACAGCACGTCTAAAGAAATTTGAACCATTTTTTTTATAATCTATGGGTTCATTCCTCCATCGTAGGCATTATTCCCGTAAAATATTCTTTTTTCCCCTAAAGTTCTACTATTGCTGGTTTATCATCGGGAAAAAATCCTTGATGAGAAACCGTGTTTGAAATCCATTGATTTTTTTTAAATGAGAAACGGTATGTGAATTGGAAAATATAATTTTTTGAGTATGAAAAAATGTGTGAGGATTTATATTATTTATATGCCTTTATACTCACATTTATGCATGGGCGAGTCTTCATGGGTAAATGTAACCTGAAAACCCGAAATTACGCGTTTGTGAATAATACTGTATCACATGCACGCAGAAAAACTTTTAGATGCGCAGATTTATAAATGTTGTATTACTGACATCCCAGGACTTCCAAAATATATTCCGGAGGTTGGGCGTATGTATAAGGAACTCAATTATCAGTTTGAGATTTTTTTTGGGAAGACATGTCGACTTTTATAGATGAACATCAATATGAGTAAATTGCGCATACTTCAAGATGTTTTTTTAAATGCCTGAATACACTTTATTTCCTGCAATGCGATATTTCTGCAGCACATTTCACAATCCAGTGACAAGAATATCAGCACACAAAAATTGCAATATAGAGAGTTAATGATTTACAAATTTTCTCTCCAGATGTGAGAAAATTACTCACTCAAAGTTTATTTAATATACAGTGAAGCAATGCATAATATTTACAGAATAGAATGTATCCTAAAAAGGAGGAATTTTCAGAAATAAATCAGCACTGTGCACAAAAATTGGCAGATGTGCAACCTGCTGAAAATAAGCACACATGTGTTTTTCCAGCTCACAACAAGTGATTTCACAGAAGTACCATAACGAGTACAGAATTTTCTAATGTTGAGGAGAATTTGACACTTTCCAGCAACAATTGAGGCTGATTTTTCCTCGCCAACAGATTTGAGCAAATTAAACTCACATTCTTGCATTACAGTTCATTACTATAAGAATTTGCAACCCCTCTGCCTTTTTGCAGGTCCATAAACAGCAGAAACTTCTGCCAGAATTCTGGTAAATTTGGCCTGGTAATTCCAAGCCAATTTATTGGATCATGTTTGGTTAAGAAGTTTAGCTCCATCAAGAGGGATTCTTCTGTGGGGAGCCCAAAAACTGTCAAGGGTTTTTTTCAGTTTCCCCCCCCCCCCCCCACCCTTTGGAGTTGAATTACTTTTAGGGGTTCCTGCATTTGTTGGGAGTATTAGGTTGTAAGAGGGTGTCTGTTGCTGGGAATAAATCCCAACAAAGAAAAGGTTTTAATTTATAAAGAGAGTTTGAAAGTTGGAATTTGAAATAAAACACAAGAATTTGGTCAGGCTACGACCTGGGTGCAAAACTCCCTATTTTAAAGTTGGTATAATTCGGAATTCACACAAAATCTCATACAATGTTCTCTCGCAAAGGTTTGAATTGGACTGTGTCAAAATAGTTGGACTAGGAAAACAGGAAAACTGTCTTCCAAGGACAAAAAGCAGCAACAGGAAATTGGTAACAAAATACAGCCTTGGAGGCTGCAGAAAACATCTGTGATAAATTACAGCCTTGGAGGCTGCTGACCATCTGTGGGAACCAAGGTCCTCTGAGATTCCCACACAGATAGAAATGGAAGACTAAATTTGCTGGGGAATTTGAGTTCTCTAAAGCTAGTGTGTCAAATTTAATATACCTGTTAAAATATTTGCGACAGTGTCATCAAATCCTTTCTTTTTTTGTGCTTTTGTCCTCATAAAACTGGGAAAGTCAGGGTACTGATTTCCAAACATTTTCTGATGGCTTTATTGCTGCCAGAGGTTTCTGTCATTTTTATTTTGGCTTGTCAATCTGTATTGGCACATGAGTCTCAAAAATAACCCCAGGCTTTGGGGAGAAGCCCATAAAATGCTTCAAAAAGAAGACACTAAAGAGTTTGGTGGAGAGGTTTTGGATGTGGAAAACTTGATTGAACATTGTGAATGCTGAAAAGCAGCAAATAACGTATTCTGTTCATTCATTCATTCATTCACTATAAAGAGTTGATGCAGAAAAATATTTTTCAAAAATGAAATTCAAACCAAATTTATCCTAGTGGGCATGTTATTCATGGAAATAATTTTTGGTGATGCAGTAAAATCTGAGAATTCTTGTGCATTTTCTTTCAGTTAATTTTTTACCCTAATTTCCTCAGCAGCCATTTTGCCATTCTTGCACCTCTTTTTTGTCAAATGAAGCCTTTCATCATTTGGGTCTCCAATAAAGAGGACCCCCATTAAAAAAAACATCTGATTATAGATTTTGTTCTTTCAAAACTCTTCCAAGCTCTTTTGTTGGTTTTGACCCCTGGCAGGAAATGTTTAAAGTTTACCAGAAAATAATGTTTTTAAATATATTTTGGAAAATTCGGTATAAAAATATTTGACCAATTTTACCAAGGATTTTACGCCGGAATGTTAAACAAAACTTATTTTAGCATATTTTATTAAATCAAATTCAAATGAAAATGAAAAATTCGCTATATACAACGGGAATTCTTTTGTCTTTCATATGTGTCCTAGAAATATAAGTTTATGCATGTGTCAGTCGTCGTTGCTTAATTTCCGCTGACCGGAAGTTCGTGGCACAAATCTCGCTTTTCGTCCGGATGTTTCATACTTTTTTCCCGAGCATTTCGCGATAATTACTCATACGTGAATCGCGGAAATTCCGTGTTTATTCGCGGAATATCCCGTCATGAAAAACATGCACAGGGAACAAACTGTTCAACCCTGGCACAGAATCCTAGAAAGATAAATATTAGCATATTGAGAGCAAAAAGAAAAAGGAAATAAATCATTTGGTCACGCACAGATTTCAGGCGTGAATGGAAAAAAGATTTCTATTGTTCTCGGAAAAATGGGACGAAAATTATGGTGAAAAACCGAATGGCGTCGTTAAAGTTGGCTTCAGTCGACCATTTGATTTGAACAGAAATTGTCGCAATTAACGTATTTTTTCAGAGATTGATTTTTGGAGAGAAAAAAAAGTTGAAAGAATGAATTCGAAAACATTTTTCTTGTGCTGTTGCCTCATCGCAGTTTTCTGCGTCTCCGGTTCTTCGTCGACTCCGATTTTATCAACACGTGAGTGAATTTTTTCAATTTTTACTTCGTATTTCATTACGAAAATTGTGGGAAAAGTTCTGAAAATGGAAGAATAATTTAGCTGCGCAGATTCTCAATTTAATAGTCAAGCTTTCTGGGTTTTGTGAAAGTTGGTTGATGAAGCAGAAGATCTTGAGAAGAATCTTATTTTCCAGAAGGTTCTAGTGTGAGAAACAATGCCTCAGAACTGATTTGAATCTAAAAATGTGATAATTTGGTGTTTGCTGCGCATTAAATTTATCCACAACTGGTTTGAAAGTATGCTGAACTTGGAGGCAAGAATTCATTTGCCCAATTAATCTAGTTCTTCATTTTAAAACACTACAAGTTTCATTTTTTACTGCCTCTCTCTTTGCCAAGTCAAAGAAATGATAGCCAAAAGGTTTCAAAAATTAGAGTTTTGGTGGTTTGAGTGAGAGTTGGGTAGATTTTTTAAAAACTTTTATGGCTGAACATGAGGACACTGACTCAACATAGGGACATTTTGTGATAAAATTGCAAATATTTTCAGGGAATTCTGAAGAATATTTCTTCCACAAAACACCAATTAAAAATTGTATCATGTACGTCTATGGGAAAACAAGACTCAACTAAGGGACATTTTGACTTGGGGACACTCTTGATGCACCAATTACTACCGCATCTCAGGGTCTCGCTGTATTTCAAATCAATATGGACATTTGGGGAATTGAATACAGTACTGATACCTCTGTACAACATAAATAATTGTTGGCATTCTCTGTAAAAATAACATTCAAGTAAAAAAGAGAGAAGGAAGTTCTTCTATGCTGGAGGTAATTTCTTTAATTAGCTATATAGATGGTAACTTGATGGGCATGCCCAAGAACTAAATGCCCAAGAACTTTTCTTTTGTCAATTTTAGGGTTGGAATTAGTGTACAGTATATCTGTTTCTTGTAATTTGGCCTGAAATTTATTTGCAATTTTATCACAAAATACCCCTACGTTGAGTCAGTGTCCTCATGTCAGGCCTTTTTTATTAATTTTTCATGGGAAAATAAGTGTCCCTGTGACAAATTGTCCACAGGTCAAGGTGTCTGCATGTAGGGGTCTCACGTTATATTTATATTTTCAACTTAGTTATTCTACCAAGAATTCCTGGCCCCAGTCCCAGGCAGAGTCTGCATGTGTTTCTATTTTTATAATCACTTTTCCATCCAAAGCCTATTTTATTTTCATACTTGTGTTGCTTTGGCCAGAGCCCCCAACAATCCTGATAATATGGGATGTGCAAGTGCAGGAGAAATCCTGGCATGCAAGGCAGTGTCCCAAATAACTCAATTTGTCCATATTTTGGGGTGTCACACTGCATATGAATTTGCTCCGACGACATTTTTTTGCCAGTGGAACGTGGTTGGACCTCCATCAAGGAAACCGTGTCCAGCCTCAACATTGGGGGTCGCATTGACTCAGCCCTGGCATCTGCTCGCAGTGTCAACGTCTCCTCATCAATAGACTCCTTCATATCCTCTCTCAAGTCCGTCTTTGAAGAAATGAAAGCAGCTCAAGCCAGGATCATCGAGTCTGCCACTTTTCCCGACTCTTGGAAGGCAGTTTTCAACCGCATGTTGGCATCTGTGGGCACCAAATGTCCTCCTTGTGAGAAAAACAGCACTTCGGGAAGCATCAGTCCTACCACCACCACCACCACAGCAACTCCGAAACTTGTTGTTGCTCCATTGGACTCCAACCCTGATGGAAAGTTTGGTTCAAGTATTTTCCAGTTGATGCATGACTTGAAAGCTTGTTTCCTGTCACAAGCAAACATAAATTCAAACATTTTTTTGCAGATTTATCAAGGTTTTTGTTTTTGTTTCACTTATCTCCCATGGAAAGTTTGGTTCCTTTATTTTCCAGAAACAAGCCTGGTACCTCACAATTCAACCCTTATATGTTGCCAAACTACAGGGTTGAATTGCAAAGCAGTTGAATTGCAAGACACTTTGTGATAATTCAAAAATACAAGTACAAAAATGCAAAAAAAGTGGCCTAAGCAGGTCAAATTGTGGGGCATGGGTCAAATTGCAAGTCAACCTTCCTGCAAATTTGACTGTCAAATTGTGGGATGGTAAAATTGCAAGGTACCACCTGAAGTTGATGGGCAAATTAAAATTGTGTTTCTATTGGAAAGCAAAACGATTTTTGCACATTTTTTGCAACTTAATACAATTTTTTTTAATACAACCCTGATGAAAAATGAAAAAAAAATGGTGGATGGATGCACAACTTGAACTTTGCTTCCCAATGATCAGTAAAGAGATGGTCAAATGTTTTTTGCAGATTTAATGCAGATTAATTTTTAAATCTTCATTCAGAAGATAACTAAAATTATTTGAACCAGAAGTTAACCCAATATTAACAAAAAGCAATTTGACCTCCCACAATTCAACCATCCCAGAATTATTTGACAGTTGAATTTGAAGATAGGCTGACTTGCAATTTGACTTCTGCCCAAGAATTTGACCAGCTTTGGCCATTGTTTTTGCATTTTTGTGCTTATATTTCTAAAGTTTACAAAGTGTCTCACAATTTGACCACTTTGCAATTCAAGCCTAGTCAGGCAATGGATTAAGGTCAAATTTCAAGGTACCACGTGTATTATAAATTCATGATAACTTGAAACATTTGAATCTAGTCTAAATAAGAAAGTGGCTTACGTTCATTTCTCAAATTGATTCAAAAATTTCAAAAGATTGTCAAATATACTTTACCACCTACAGCAATAAGTGATTTAAAAGTTATTTTCCCCACTTCCTTCAAATGTTTGGCTGAATGAAAGTTTTTTGCCACACATATTCAAAACGTCCCCAATGTTTTTCCAAATTTAAGAAGAAAAAAATGAATAAAGTCCTTTGTTCCAAATGAAAGTTTGAATAAACTTGCACAAATTTCCGTGTTTATTAATTCCGGGATGTTTGAAAAGGGCATGTTAAAATCGTTTGTGAGACACGGATATATAGAAAACCTTTCCTTTAAAATTTTAAAACACCTTGATTTCGAATGGGAGACGTGAAAGAAATAATATTTTCGTTGCTTTTCTCCTTCAACAGCGGAATTTGTTCTGCCAACTTTGCCACCGGGAACCGACACCGAGAATTTCCAGAAAGAAGCTGAGAAAATCAAAGCAGCAATTGTGCAACTCAATGAAACCGCCTGCTTTTGCTAATTTTTTGAATTTTGGAACACGTTTTGCAAAATGGAGCAAAGTAGAACAAATATTATAAAATTCTTGCAAACAAAAACAGAACGGGTTTGATTGAGTAAATTGTACCATTTTGAATATAGATGTCATCCCAACAACATGCTGATTTGTGCAAATTATTTTTTGCAGGGCCAATGTTTCTTTATATAAAAGACACTCAGAAAATAAAACAAATTGAATGTCTTTATCTTGAATTTATGGAATAATCAAAATACAGAGCAGCAGAGAAAATAATTACAGTCAAACCCTGATTTTGAGCCACTGGTTGTCCTGGCACATTTTTTGGCACAAGGTAAAGGGTGGCACTAAATAAAACACATTTTATGTGCGAAAGGTCCAGATCAGGGATTCCATTATAGGAAAAATAAGCTTGTTTACTGAATTTTTAGCCTAATCAGGGTGTTTCCTAGGAGAAAAAGCTAAAATAAATAATTTTTGATCCTTCAAAGGTACTTTTTTCAAAATTTATTTCAGAAGATGTATCAAGGCAGAATGTACAGTATTAGATTTTTAAAGATATGATGTCTAGTAAGAGATCACAGCTGTTTCCCAAGATTTTGCATGCATTTCAGTTAGTTTTGTACAAAGTGTCATCATGAAGGAATCACCAGCAATGTTTCCACAACAGCTTCAACTTCCTGCTTTGTTCAATTAAAAAGAGTAACATGCATAAAAAAATATGTTTGAATAATGTAAATTCAAAAATAGATTTTTTCAATTTATCCTGAGTTTTATGTCTGAATGGGGATGAGATTCTCAGTCAAACGTATTCAATGATATCCCTGGAAAAATGCCTGGATTACTTACACTTCTGTCCAATTTTTTTTCAAACAAAAGCAAAAATTTTTATGGCACTAAAAGTGAAATGGCACTAAATCATGAACATAATAGAGGGAGGTCTGTACAAGCGAAATTTGTTGCACTATGCAAGGGTGGCACTAAACTGGGGCACAAAATCAAGGGTTGACTGTATCTAAAGTTGGCCTAACCTCAAAAGTTTTGGCCAAAGGGCAATTTTTTGATAATATATGACTTGCTCTAAAGAAGGCATAGTTTTTTTCTCTGAGACTAAAACATACTGCATATTTTATATCAGACAACTGTGACTTCTATATGTAACATTTGTTGTAAATAGAAACTTACTAATGAATTAAAAGTAAAAAAAAATGCAGAATTGACAGCAAAGAAAATATGAAATATATTCTGAAAAAAACCCCAATGCCTTTTGTCCTCTATTTTTTCAATGCGGTGTCTGGGATGTGAAAATAAAGTTGAGGAGATGAAAAGCACTGCAAAATTGTGAAACTTCATGTTTGTGTTTATTTTTCATACAGATTATGCACTTCTTAAAAATGATTTCTTTATTGTGGAACATTGTATGCTGGGAATGCATAAAAAAAAACTCCACCCAGTGAGGATTTTTTTCTTATGCAACATTTTCTGCACAATTAAAAAAAAAATATTTGACTTTTTCCTGACTTTGGCCTTGGTTCAAGATGCGCATTTTTTTTTATTTCAGCCCTCTGGGGAATAAATTGGGCAAAAATATCCTGACTTCGCAGCAGAAGGGATTAGCCTGGGTTCCTCGGATTCCCAAAAGACTTTCTTTTCCTCATAATCCTATTCTGATGGCAGGACCAGATCAATATAGAGTAAATAAGACTATTCCCTGGCCCTTTATTGGGATTCAGCTTATTCTCATTATCCAGCTTTGTTAGAAATGCGCCCACCTGGAGTGAGGGCACCATAAACAAGGGTCCTCCTGTCTCCGTGGTGACTCCCATAAAGTGTGTAGCCTCATCCAGGCCAGACGGCTCAACGTTTTCAGCCTCATTTCTCCCGAAAAAAAGAACAAAGAGGCTTCTTTCCGTAACAGATGTCGAGGACCCTAGTGTTATGGTTCGACGACCTATACGTGTACTGAATTCATTTCGTCTTTCTCCCTGTGGTCTTCGACCCGAAGAAGGAAAGGAGACCGTCCGACTTGTTGCCGTGAGTCCCGCACCCACTTCCTGAACCTTCGGGACTTGAAGTTTCGTCGTTCGTCGCGAATCGGATGAGCGGTGACTACATCGACTCAAATGCGCGCTTCATCATGGTTTCGGTTTTCGTTCGGATTCGGATTTTGTGTGTTCAGTTTGAGTTTCTTTGCGGTTTATATTCGCTGAAAGATTTCCTGAGAGTGCTTTTTCTGAACGCTTATACGAGAGAAGCGACGTGCTGATCGAGCGAACAGCATGCATCAGATATCAAGGATCAACGGATCATGCACTGCCGTGCGATGTGTTTCGAAATGATCTGATGATTAATATAGAAATACATGTTCTGTGTACTTCAAAATAGAGTTTGCGCTTGAGATTAAGTATTCTCGAAACTGAATTTGAACCTGTTTTATCGTCGTGAACACACTTAGTGCTGGAAACACAGAAGACCTGCGGCGGAAAGGATCAGTTTGGCGATATACAATTACTTCGGAATTCCCTGATCCTTCAAATTTATCTTCAAAGAATGAAAATAGCGTGGAGGAACGTTTCGTAATTTGTATTCGAGAGTGTAAACTTGAAAGATTAGTCCTTCGTGATGATCTGTATACATTCTGAGGAGTTGAATCATCTATGCATAGGCTAGCGCGGAAGAAAAGTTGAAACCGTTCATCTTCCAAAACATTTTGCACGTTGCACCGTATTATTCAAATTTATTCTTTGAATGATCAACATTTTTCTGTGTGGTAACATTTATGTACATCATGTGTGTTCTTTATCGCAGGGAAACCATGGAATCAGATTTTGAGACGAGTTTGGAAGTCAGTCTTCGAACGGAACCGAGCGCATGTTTCTGGACAAAAATCCGCGAATTTTTTGTAAGATTTTATCCTAAAATTTGTCAATATAAGTTCCTCACGCAATTATTTCATTTTGCATGTACTGTGATAATCATTGGCAGCGTTCGTTTACAAATTTACTGATGCTTTCGGCGTATTTGAGTTTTGGACTGAAGATTCCCGACAATAAGACAGACCGAAAGTGAGTATGAAAGATGAATTTCGCGTGTTTATAATTGAATGATGTTTTTAATTATGTCAATCATTCCCAGGCGACGACATTGACTGGAATTCTCGACGATTGTGAAGAAAAGCGAAAGGTTGTGCTGAATATTTTTTGTGATACGCTATTCATTCCTTGTTTCCAGCACACAGCATGTTGAAAGTGAGGTTTTTTTTTAAGAATAATTGAATAATCAAGTTCGGGATGTTCAGTAATTCATTCACCGTGGAAGTAATTTTGTGTTGATCAAGTCTACAACCAATCCTGCCGAGTGAGTTTTTTTTTCCGGGGTTCAATTTCATGGATAGCTCTGATAATATTCTCGAAAAAATTTTCATGTTATACTGCATGTATATATACATGTATACTTGCGCTTCTTATTGTGATGGTGGAGACGATATTCGCGAAAGAGGAAACGTCGGTTCAGTTGCCACTAATCGTTTTTGTCATTGAGTGACTTGAATGTATTTATGAATTTATGTCACCATGTGCGTTGAAGGGAAATGAACGAATGTTTCATAAGTCTGCTGTCTGATTTTTAAAAGTTTTGTTCTGAAATTGAGTTGTGGTAACCTCCATTTTCTGTCACGGCAACCTCAATCAAAATGTGACATCCTTATTATATTCATAACCATCATCCTTGTGATTCCTGTGCTTAAAAGTCAGTTTTTTATGGGTAAGTATGTGTGGCAGATGAGACTTTGATGGACTTGCTTGCATATGAAATGCTGGCGCTGAAGGAGTTGATAGAAATGTCATCACTGTCTTTTGGTTTGAAAATATGTGAAAGATCCAAAACTGCTTATCCCAAACAGCCGTGGTTTACGGCGCCGAGTGGTGCTTGTGTGGCGTCAATCTCTCAAAAACGCGCGAGAAGATGTTGTGATGTTGCTTTCCTGATTCAATTTATTCTGGAAGCTGAGTTGTTCTGCACCCTATGGAGGGTGCGTAATTCCCTCAGGACGATTGAGATTTTATGATGACAGGCGGATAACCGTTGTTGCTGGGTGCCGAAATGAAAGGTGAACTTAGCTTACAGCTATTCACATCGATTTTATTTCACATCAGGCACAGATTAGGCATACAGAGCCTTTGTACAGTTTTGCATAAGCAACTTTGAATATTACAGTTTGGGTGTTGAGTTAGAGGTTTCGCGTCCCTGCCTGAAAATTACAATATACCAAAACGTCAGACACAGACTCGACAAATGCACAACACAAAATATAGGATCTCAAATACAAAAACAACTTAAATGGAGATCCTTAACACATGCGTCAAAATTGTACACAATCAATTTGTGAAAAATTAAAACATCTAAAAAATATTTTTCACGAAAATATACAAGTCCAAAAATTCACACTCAAAAATGTCAGAGTCAAATCCCAGTGCAAGGCAGAGCACAGAATGAAAATCCTACCAGTCCCAAGCTCAAAACGCAAGGCGGCGGGAAGAGGGGGATTGCGCACGTGCAAAGGGGATCAGATAACACCCCTTTGGCGGTGCGCTCTTCCATCCCTTTCCAGGGGTCGAGGACTCAGAGATCACTATCTCCCTTCCAAAATAAAAGGGTTGAGTTTTCCAACTACAAAGGAGCCAGATGTCCCTATCGTTTTCGCGCGCTTGTCAGTTTTTTCTCAAGTCAAAAACAAGTCGGCGTCTTGGAAATATAAACCTGGGACCATCTGGTCCAAAAAGAAAACACGGACCTTGGAGAAACAGCATCTCAATTTGAGCCAAACAAATAAATGACCCTGCAGCTGTTGCAGCTGCCCCAGAAATGACAAACAGACACGGCTGCTTGAAACCGATTTCTTTTCTTCAGACAAATTCCGAATTCACAACTTTATCAACAAATCAAAATAAACAATTCTTTAGGAAATATTCTCATCAGATGTACAGGAAAACGCAAATGGAGTTCCCCGCTCCGTGTAAGAAAGCAGGTTTCCCGGTTTGTCAAGTTTTGCATTAAGGATCCCGGGGAATCCTGCATTGTAAGTACAGGTCCCCTTTCTCCATGAGTTATTGTATACAAATTTCTGCCGCAGTTTCAAACAAATATGTATCATTATATGAAGAAGCATCAATTATTTGATGGAAAATAAAAATATTTTCTGCTGTCACCTGCGAGAATAAAAAATAGGAATTCAGTGATCCATGGCCACTGCTGGTATTGTGTCTTTTACTCTGTATACAAGTGGACTCTCTCAACAACAATCTTGTCTACAACAATTTTCTCTGCATCAAATTATTTTTGGAGTTCCATGTGGTTCTCTTCCTATTTTATATGGGGATCTCTTTATTTTAATTATCTCTGCAATGCCTTCTTGCTGGTCCCATCAGTTTTGTTGTAATGATATTTCACATGTACTGTACATGTTTGCCTCCAATATGCTCACTGTACACCCAAATCTGTGCAATGGATGTTACTATGTTATTTCTTATATTCATGTTTCTTATTCTGCATATTACCTGATATCTACAGATCATGTTTAAATCTAAGCAATCATGACATTAGTCTTTCTTCAGTAGATTGTCAGTGCAGGGCAGTGTTTGTTATGCGAATTCAGGAGTGTCAAATAGTTTCAGTAAATCATGCATGCTTGTGTGCAGAATAGAGATCTATAACTCCAATTAAATTGCTGTCAACTCTCAAATTCATGGAACTGTCTGTGCATCAATGCACGAAGAAAACATGGTAATGAATTGAAGGCATTACATATGAGGCACAGAAAAGTGAACCTGGATAATGTACTTGTACTTTGACTGTAAGTCAAATACCTTATCCTAAAATGAGCTTTTAAAGTCTTTATCTGATTTCCATCTGAACCAATCCATTGTAAACCTCTGTAGCTCAAAGGATTTGTCCTTTCAACCCTCAATAAGTCATAATTTTATCAATAGGCCTTTTGCTATCATTTTTGCTGGTGACACATTCAGGGAATGAATGGGTGTATGCATACATGTCAGATGTCCGGTTTTATTTCATGGATTGTATTTTCTATAATTTTTTTATAAATTTTTGCTCTGTTTCCTGCTCTGAGGTGATTAAATTTCATTGAGTGGATTTGGGTTGAATGGGAAGGGGGTTTGGTTGTGGAAATCTTGATTGAACCTCGTGAACGCTGAAAAGTGGCAAATAAAGTGTTCTGTTCATTCATGCATTCATTCATTCAAGAGGGATATGCACAAATCAAGCCAGACAATTCAAGACTGGACAAATGGAGACAAAACATTTGAAACAAAGTTAATTTGAGACAGGGACAATAATACATGACAAAGACAATTCAAGACAGGGACAAATCAAGACAGCCCCGAAGCAACTGCAGATTCTGCTTGTATAGCTATTCATGCAAAAAATTTGATGTAAAAAAAAATAACTCATGAGGTGCTGTGTCTTGTAATTCTTCCTGTTGAATGCTGTTTTTATACTGAAATTGTTGGCATGCACTGTCTGCACCTTGAGTCAGTGCATGTCCACATGTTTTGTTTTTCTTTCTATTTTTCAGATCAAATAAGTGTTCATATATGAAATTGTTTTATGTGAAACAAAATTAGCAGAACTTTTTACCAGACAGTGCAATTTTGTAATTTTGCCCCTTGAACATAATATATTAGGGATAAACACAGCAATCACGTCATTTTGCCTCAAACAGTCTCTGCCTTACTTGAAATGTCTCAAATTTTCCAAATGTGCCTGTCTCAATTTGGCCCTGTCTCAAATTGGCCTCATCTCAAATTATATATTTCAATCTGTCCTAGATCCTTTCAAGAGAAAAGCAATAAAAGCAAAGTGATTTGAAGAAAGTAAAAGTGATTTTGTAAACAAACCCATGTCTTCAAGTTCAGCATCATCTCAACTTGTGTAGGAATGGAATTGAAGGACCAGGATACCAAAATTGAAATTTCCTTCACTTCATCTCCCTTCCCCCTGCCATAAAATATACAGTACAGTATTTCTTCCCCTATAAACCA